AAGATGATAAGAAATAATCGACTTTCTTATTTGGGCCCGAGTGGAATGTGCTAGCGACATCCATCACAGACAACTTTTCCAAGAAAAATAATAACACTTTTTTTTTTTTTTATCTGGATCAACCATTAAAAACACGCATAGACTTTTTGTTGTTTTTTTCCTCTCAACTCACCTCCTGTGAAATTCTGGTCAACAGTCTTGGGAGTGACATTGGAATCAAAAGCACAAGCAACACAAACCGTGTCAAAACCGTCGATTCGTCCTCCTGCCTCGTTTGATTTCCTTATTTATGTCTTTATTTATTGAATTTGTTGTCCAACAGACAAAAAAAAAATCTCCAACTCCTTTTTTTTTGGACAACACAGCCATAAAAAAGCAGGACTGCCGATGAAGCCATTTCGTCATTTGCATCAAACACGCACCTGCACACAAACACACACGCTCTCTTGATATCACTCCATGCAACATGTGCGACGCGTGCGTCCTCTGCTCAGCAAAGACAAGCCAACATCGTTTCGCTTCATTCCAAGAGGATTAATAGCCAGTCATGCGCACAAAACACACAATGCAATGCTGTGGGTAACGCGTGCGTGTGATCGACAGCCTGCGTAATGTGTCAATTCATAATTCATTCATGAATAATGACAAGTGAGATTTCATTCGACACACTTTGATTGAAAGATGTGCGTGCGTGTGTTTTAGTGCCGGTGAGGTACGCGCACACTTACCTGAGACGTGCGTTGACCTCGTTAGCTCACTAAGCCATTAGTTCACAGCGTCGGCTATGTTTGCAGGTAATTAGTTTGTTTTGTCTCTTTGTTTGCTTTCTTTCACGTCAGTCAACAAACATGGCCGCCCTTGGGGTTTAGGGGCGTGGTGGTGGTGGGGGGCGTCGCTGCCCTGCCGGTTGTCACGACAGCAAAAAAAAAAACATGTCTCCGATTGGTCTGATTGATCAGGTCCTCGGAGACAACCGAGCGTGTGAGCTTGGCGGGTGTTCCACATGTGCAAATCTCATCTGTGTCCAATTTCTGGCCCGTGTACGACATCCAAAGCACTCAAGCATTTGCTCAAGAGCATGGACTCTTCAAAGACATCTTGTGTCAAACTGAAGACCTTTTCACCTTGCAGATAAGGTTTAGACTGCAGCAATAGGAGTCGTTTGATGCAGAGGATAAAAAAAAAAAAAAGTGCCTTCAACTATTGTTATATTGTCTGCCAACATGTGCTGATGCATCGTATGTATTTAAATGTCTTTGGCTTCAAGGGTTTGAAAACCGCAACAATTCCATTCATTAGCCCACCTATGGTATTTAGCATTGTATGTTAGCATTTTGTGTGTGTGTGCGTGTGTAGTTATATAAGGTTGTATCAATGTCAGATGACTTACTTGGGCTGTAAATTAAAATTTTGTTTTATTCTGCATGAGGAATAAATAACATCAAGTCACAACTCCACAATTAAAACCACAAAACTTTGACATGTTTCTTTTTGTTCCGGATAGAAGACTACGCGCGCATGCACGCGCACACACTCTACGGCTGATGAAAATGACTTGTTGATGAAGCACATTAAGGAAACATTACAGTGACACATGACACAGCAGGTGCAAGAGGTGGGGACTTCATCAGAAAAGGTTGTTGAAAACGTTGCCGTGCATTCCTGTGCCATCATGACATCACGCGTTCTGCACAGAGGCTCCGCGCGGACAAACGCACAGCTGCTCCGTCGGGGTCGGCCATTGTGCATTGCCGCCGGCTCGCCTCCTCACCCGGACGCTTCCTCGCTCGCCGTTCGTCTTCTACATGGGCGGCGCCACCAGGCCCGACATGGCTGCACAATCGCAAGCACAAATTGGCTCCAGCTTCACAAACATGAAACAAAATGCTCAAGCCGTGGTGGGTAAAATTCAGTCAAAAAATGTGGGTGCTCTGAATACACCATCATTCGGACAAATTTTCAATTATGGGGGTCACCTTGCAGTCCGGCGTTGACTCCGCAGTTGTTGGTCGGCGTTGGCGAGGAGGCGGGCCTAACCACAGGAGCGAAGGCGCTCTTGGCTTTTATGCTGGCAGAGAAGGCGAACACGCCGTGGGCGGAGCTACAGTTCGACACCGCCATGGTGGGACTGGTCGCCACAACTGACACAGCAAAGAGAAAAATATGACGGTGGACATCACACAGATGGGGGGGTCGTAGTTCCGGTATCGGCACATGCTTCTGGCGGGCCTGAGACGTTGCCCTCAAACCCACTTGATGAAAAATTGGTCCTGGTCGGTGGCGGACTTCAACAGACCCCAGCGGGCGTCTACTTACTGCCGTAGGGGGAGTTGGCGGAGGACCCGTTGAGGAAGTTGGGCGAAGAGGCCGCCCCGAGGTTGGGCATGCTCGAGTTCGCGTAGGCGTTGAGGCTGTTGCTGACGGTGTTGCCATAGTTAGTCTGCTGGGGGGTGGAAGTGGGGGCGTATCCTCTGGGCGACTGCTGGCTGTTGCCGTTGCGAGCGTATCCGCCTGCCACGCGAAGAACAGCTCAGTGTCCACAGAAGGTCTCGGGGACCTGGCGGAGACTGACCTTGAGTGCTGTCGTTGACATTGACCGCCAGCTGGCCACCGAAGGAGTTGACTCCCATCATGCCGTGGGAAGTCGCGTTTGACAGCGACGGGATCTGCCCGTGGTTCCGCGGCACGCTGTAGAGGGCCTCGGCGATGTCCGTCGCTCGCTTCAGGATCATCTCCTGCGCAAGAACAGACCTTGGAAATACGTGCACGTGCAAGTGTGCGTGTGCGTGAGAGGGTCACCTGGTTGCTATGAGGCATCCCATACAAAGCTTCCACCATGTCAGCGGCTCGCTTTAGTAACACTTCCTGTGGAGCAGGAAGTTACATCATCAGCATGAATCCAACTTTTGGAACACACACACACACAAAATATATTCACGAAAATTATGATTATTTTTAAAATACATTTCTACACCTCTTTACACAAAAAAAAACAAAAAAACAATTCAAACGTGTGTGTGGCTGTGTGTGTGTGAAGGCCAATCTCCTTTCTTGCCACATGACTGCACTCACTGATTTCCTGATTTGACTGTTTCAACAGTTCTTGTTTGCCATTGGACTTAAACACACACACACACACACACACACACACACACACACACACGCACACGCACACGCACACACACAGAGTGTATTGAATCATCTTGTCTGTTTGGAGAATTAAATGTCTTTTTGTGAGCTTGTGGGCGTCCCCGTGTTTGTTGATTTGTGTACTCGTCAACTTGGACGACATCACGCATGGAGCCAGCCTGTGACTGGCCCTTGTTAAGCCGAGCGCTCCCGTGCTGGCGATGCGTTGCAAAAACTACGGCGGCGCGGATTCCCCTCGGCAGGTGTCAAAGCGCAAAACATGGCACAGCAGGCACAGCGCCGCTTCCTCGTCAGCGAGTGGACGAGAAGGTGCAATGATGACATAACGCTGGCCCCTCTCTCTTGACATCAGAGTTGGAAAGTTGGGCCGGACGACCAGAAATTTTCATCCGCCAAGTGGACTCACGTGAGTGACACCACAATCAAGAGCTGCACTTCCTCATGAGGGACTAATTAGCTCAAACCAGACAATCACGTGACTCATTTAACGCCATGCTCGTGCAAAATAAATGGTGGCACAAGTGGCCCACGTGCGCGCGCAGGCGCATGCACAAACATGCTCAGTCAATCATGTCAAACAGAAAATAGAGTGACAATTGTTCTTCAATCATCGTTCGTTCCGCTTGGCTGCTCAGCGTGGCTGATAGGCATCAGCTTCGCGGCCTCCGCGCGTGTGTGCGTGCGTTCGTTACCTTGGGCAGCCTCTCCGGGTCTCCGGGGTGACGAGGAATGACCTTCTGTAACCTCTGGAAGCCGTAGTCGATGGTGGGCTCGTTCAAGGCTGATGAAGAGAAAGTTTGGCAAATTCCAAACGCCGTCCAAATGCCGCAAGCCGTTGGCGGGTTACCCGTGTAGATGAAGCGTCCGGGAGCCCCTTTGCAGAAGTGCTTGGACTTGTACGACAAGGTGACCTCCACCACTCCGGGGATGTGTCGGGGGGGAGTTTGCACACGGATGGCGTGCGGCGTGATGAGCTGGACCGGGGAACGCTCGTTAGCTCGGAGCGCGTGCCGACAAACGTGCGCAACTTGCCTCACCTCGCTCCACACCAGCATGCTCCCGAAGACCACCTGAAGGCCGTCGAAGAAGTTTTCTCCGATGAGGATGACGGTGGCGCCGCCCGTCGTCCACCCCTCGCTGGGACTGACGGCCTTGATGCACGGGCACGCTGCTGGGGGACAAGAAAAAAAACGTTCACTTTCTGTTCACTTGGCTTCTTCCGTTTGATGTCACATGAACATACGCACACACACACTTATCTTACTTCTAAAGGCTACCTCTTGTTCTTATCAGAGCAATTGCACATTAATTAGGAAGTGAAATAAAAGCAGTGTGTGTGTTCCATCGGCTCGTGCGGAGAACAAAGGCGGAAAGGAGTCCGTTGAACAGGACGCAGGCTTCTTCGGGCCTCCTCGTCAGCTTTTGGCAATAAAACTCAACAAGAGGAGTGACTGACTACAAGCGAGAATCCGACATCCGACACGAGTCAAGTGTGCTGATGACTTGCAGGTTGTCAAGTCTTTCATCTTTTAGCTCTCGAACGAGGAAAGTGCGTGAATGAAGCATTCAAAGCGACTAGATTGGGCGGGGGGGATTAATAAGGGGGTGGTGTCGCCATGGTTACCATCTTTAATTAGGATGGCTATTAAAGAGGTTGAACGGCCAGCGTGCGCACACACACACACACAGACTCCTCTCCAGGGACGGCGGGGAGGCTTCAGCTCTTCTTCTTCAATGAGCAAATGAAGGCGGTTTTCGTTCGTCAGGCTCTTCGAGCCCACGTGGGCACGTTCCGTGTCGACACACGTGTCGCACACTTCCTGTTTGCTCAGACATTCAAACGGTCCTCCATTTTGGCGACTCGGAGCGGATGGGATGGCGCGGCCCGATGCTAACCTTACCCGAAGTACTGACAGCGCTCGTGACCACAAAAAGGAAAACGAACGATGAGGTTCTCCTACGCGATGATCAATCAGGAGGTTCCCCGCTTTCGATGTACCTTCAGACGGGTCCAGTCTCCGAGCTCGGCGGCCGTGTTTGGAGTTGTTGTGCACAAACATGTTGTCTGAGACGGCGAGGACATGCCCGTCCACGGTGAGCGTCGTGGACACCACCACCTGCAAATTGCCCACGCCCCACAAAAAATTATTGATTGACCCCTTAATGAGGCGGCGACTAATCAGTTGTTAGATTTGAGGCTACTTCAAGAGTCGCGTTAGGTAGATACAGACTGATACCCTCAGACGAAGTAAAATTAAGCTAGTGGGCGTCTTCGGGGGAGGAGGAAGGTCATGTCACTTTGCATTTCAGCCTGAAATGCTCCCACACATTTTCCAAAATTTTTTTTTGTTCCCGCTGCGTGCGCATCACCTGAAACCTCCGCATGTCTCTCGGGTTTCCGGCATTTTTCAGACAATTCTGGTTGCACTTGAGGAAGAACTTGAGGAAGAACCTTCAAACAGACACACATCGGCGACCTCAGCGACTTTCATTCAGTTCAGAAGAGCAGAGAAATACGACACAAACGGCCACCGCAAACATCGGCGCTCTCATTTATGATTGAAGATCTTTTATTTTGAAAGGACATCAGACAAAGCGTATCAAAACAAATGTGTCAAAGTGAAGCGAGTGCCGAAGCGGTTTGTGAAGAAATTGACTGGAAATGCAGCCGAAATCTCTGGAAAAGCAGCAGATATGTCCCCCCTGCCCCCTCCCTCAAGAAGGAAGGATGAGATTAATAATGCGGGTGGGAAAGGGAGATTCCTCTAGGGAGAGGGGAGGGATTCAAATAAGAGGCAGGAGGAAGAACATTCCGCTTTGCTTTGGCATCCCACTTGGAGGACCAAAACCGCTTCCCTCGCTTTGGACAAACAATCAATGTGCCACCAATCACGTGACCTGGGAGCTTTGTGTGATATCACAACCTTGACACAAACGCATGTTCACAAGCCAGTTCAACAGCAGCACTTGCGCGCTTGGCTACCTGTCGATGACGACCGGGTCCGAGGGCGTCTCGTTTCTGTTTCCGCAGCTCTTCTTATCGCAGCAGCGACTGTTGGGGGAAAAAAACGAGCGGCAATCTGTCAGCGCTTGCCAGACGGACGTCAATTGAAATCCAATCGCGGCCGACCTACCTGCACATGATCTCGTGGGTCAGCAGAACACGGCACATCTCCGGATTCTTGTCCTGACCTTCATAGACGATCGCCTGACACGAGCATGCCACTCTCTTAGGCACGTTTGACACCATGTTGCCGGCAGCCGCAACGTCGAGCGCAAAACGGGACCGGCGCGGTGGGATGGGAGAGGCGACCGTGGTCGGTCGCGATTGCTGCGGATGCCGGGATTTTCAAACCGCCTAAAATTTGGTCACGCTAGGCACCACACGGATGAGAAACCTCGTCGGTCGCAGTCAAACTCAATCTGACAGGATGTACGGAACATGAAAAACTCGGGAGCCTGTCTGGGAAGAGAGCTTCATTCCAATCCGCCAAGGCCACAAACGTGCTTTCCTTCTTGGAAAGTCTTAACAGAACGCGACCACCGTGTGGGACCCCAATCCATCCGTGGTACAGCGCACTTGGACAAAATATTCAATAGGCGGTATTTTGTAGAATAGTGAACCGATTGATAATCAATAGCTCACCTGTTTGGTCATGGAATCAATGAGTCGAATGTAGAGGTCCTGCTCCGTCCGCACACCTACGCAGGCGCACACATGCATGCACAGTGTTTATAGAGCAGCAGCATCCGGGCTGCGCCGACGTGCAAATGGAACGCACCGTTGCTGTAGAGCAGCTGCAGTTTATAATGAATTCCGTTGTTGGTTTTTTCTGCGGTGGGTTCCTGTGAGACAAAAGTCAAGAAAAAGGCGCATGGTGGTGAACAAAGAGATTGAGGAGCATCTCGTCGGAGTCGGGGCACGGCGGCGCCTCACCTTCTCTTTCTCCACAAAGTCCACGTAGGCAGTGCGCTCGATTTCCACGGGCTGACCCGCACGCACACACACACACACACACACACACACACACACACACACACATACAAAATACATTTACGGGGCACAACAAGTGCAAAATTTCCCTACACTTTTTTTTTTTTTACATCAGAATGGTTAAATTTTCTGATTCAAAATTGATGACAGCATATTTCTGACTGATAAAATAAATCAATCTAATAACACAAGTGAAAATGTGGAAAAAACAAAAACAATCCATGTTTTAATTTTTCAGTTGCATTTTCTTGGAAGTCTCTCCCCCTGAAAAAAATGCATGCGATGATTAATTTCATTCATTCAAGGCAAAAGGAGTGCAGATCTTCATTGTGAATAAGAACAAAAATAAGGACAATGATAAACATAAATGAAGTTGTCCCTGCACGTAAAAAGACACAAATTGCGATGCTTTTTGTTTGGAGCAAAATGAAAAGTTGAAGCTGATTCAATATTTGTTTTTTTTTTTTTGTACCTAACCATAATATTGTCATTTATGTGATGATATTAAATGACACTGTCATTTCCTCCTTCAACAACAAAATAGATCTCGTCTGCAAAAATCAAATTTCATGATTCATGACAATAATGACAAATAATCTTAATCATGATATTGATAATAATAATTGAAATAGAAACCTGTTTTCATATTAACAAAATTTAAAAAAAAAGGAATTTTACATCGAGTGGGTTCAGAATGAAGCGGAGTCTCAATTTTGCTCTGAAAAGCGATGAAGAGAACAAACAAATCAAGTGTGAATGTGAGGAGTTAGTTGTGGCATTTTGAAGATTTGACCATCTCGAACAAAACGATTTTTAAGTTTCCAACTTGGATCTTTGACCTCCCTTTCACTCCGAGTGACAAAAAAGCGGATGGGATGCGATGTTGAAAGCGGGCAGGAAGGAATAAAGGACGGCGTGGGCCCGCGGGGACTTGCAGGTCCCGCAATCCCTTGATGCCGCGGATCTTTTTACCTCTGAGCGGCGGCGTTTGCGTCAAGCACGGCGCTCGAATGCATCCACGAGCGAACCGCCAACGGCTCCTCCTTCAGACTGGCCGTGGAGCCGCGCGGGAGCCCATCTTGAATCCCGAACATCCCTCAAGACCCACACCCGGACCTGTATCGAGAAGAAGCAGATGGAGAGCAAGCAGAAGGAAGAATGTCCCGCAGGAAAACTCAAGCACTGGTCTTCAATCGTTTCTTCTGGAAGTTGGCAAAAGTGCCCCAGAGGCCGAAGAAAAATGTTGTGCCGCCTTGCTGGGATACTTTTATTATCGTTTTTGCTTTTTCACGTTTCAAAGGCGACCGTGAGGGGAAATTTAGTCGGGGAATTCAGAAGCGAAAGAAAATCCTCAGAGGAAAAAAAAAAAAAAGAAAAAGAAATCGCCGAATTGCACGAAAGCAAAGACTTGCCCCCCCGCCCCCGTTTTCCCTAAAGACAAGGCGAGGTGAAGAGGAGGGCGAGGAAGAGGACGGCGCGATGATGAGAAGGCAAAGAACTCTCAGCCCCGCGGCCCCACAGGACCCGACGCCAAAACCCCAAAACCCCACGGCTGTGACGGCGCGACAGAGGGGGCGGGGCCTGCCCTTATAAGGACGGGCCAAGTGATGGAGAGAGAGACGATCGACCAACCGCAGAGCACCGCACACCTTCATTCCTCCGGATCTTCCGCCCCCTTCCCCCAGCCGTCAACTGGTCTCCCCAAGAACAAGAAGAAGAGAAGCAGATGAAGATGCTTTTCTTCCACAAGAGTGCACACCGCAGCACGAAATGAAAAGTGTGAACGTGTGTGCAGGTGCGTACGTGTGTGTTGGCTTGAACGAAGTCACCCCAAGACTGATGAAGATGGCAACTGAGGAAGAGAGCAAGATGGACGCCCTCTAGTGGAACGTAGAAGGGCGCTGGGAGATTCTTTGAATTTCTCACATGAGTTTCGGCTTCCAAGTGGAGTGTCTGAAAAAGGCACTCAAGCACAATTCATTTTCTCACACTTTTATACTCGTTTGTCATGTTGGAACGAATCACCTTGAGCCTTTGTCAAGGTTAACGGGACTAAGTACAGCTCCAAGTGGCAGTCAGCGTTGTCACAAACCTTCGGGCGTCTGCCAGAAAGCAAAAGAAAAGAAAATGTCAGCAAAAGCCTACTGGAACATCAAACACATTTCGCACTTCAAGCCATTTCATAAAAGGCATTTGATGGAAGTGACTTAAATTTCAATCCGAAGGTCAGCAAATAACCTTTGGGTGGGTTCTCAAACACGTCATTCCAATGGCCAAGAATTCACCTTTGGCTGCATGCGCCGGCGGCCCGCCAGAGTCCAAAGTGTCCTTTTCCTCATCAGGACTCTGGTTGCGACCCACTAAACGTAATGTAACTATCATGCTAATGCTAATTGGCATTCCGAGAAACACGGAGGCCTCCCCCGGTTTTCGCTTTTCTTGTCTCAAGATGGACTTGGCTCGAAGCGTTCACTCAGCTCCGCGCAGGTCGGCGTTTTCTGGACTCTGTCGCCATCTAACGGACAAAAAGGACGTTGCATCACAAAAGGAAGTTGACATTCAGACACAAATTGCAACAGAAGCTTGTGAGATCTGATAGTGTCGTCTATCCCTGTTCAATTGTAGGACTCGGGGACAGTTTTCAGGTATTTGTACTGTACTTTCTACACTTGTCAAAATATATTGCAACCAAACAAGATGCCAATTCAGCGAGGGGTTGGCAATTGCATTTATTATTTAGATTTATTACTAGATTAGGATTTTGGGGTATTATATATATGTGGGGTTAAAAAAAACAAAACAAATGTTAACGGGCCACCAATAATGACGACGATGTAACAGATTCCCAGAAGCCAGATATCTGCCATCCCCGTCTAAAAGTGAGTTGCTTGCGGTCAGCTCAACGAATGATTTGTGGCAAACGTGTTGAGTTTTGTGCGATAGCTAATGAGGCATTTTTTAAAATTCAGTTGTCAATCTTGGCAAACGTATGACAACACATTGTTTTCATAACAGTTGAGCCAACACTCGCCATGTGATGCTTTTCTTCTTCCCAGTATGAGACCCTCCCTCCCCCACTTTTACATGAGTGTCTGTATCTTGACTTGCATGAGTACTTTTACCACCAACGGCCGTCTGCTACTCCACAAGCACTTGACGTTGACCTTGACATGTGCTTCAGGTCAGACTCGTTAGCATGGAGCCAGGCCATACATAGACAAAGGAAGCAAAAAGGCAAGCCCACGCCCAAAAGACAGCGGAGTCCACGTGAGCATGTAGCCATGACGACTGGCCATCACAACAGCGCACGTGCACATCTCGGCATTACCTCAGTACAGGCGTCACCTAATGTATTGCGCTGCTCTCATCACAAGCAACTTTCCATGCCTTGTTGTCCACTTGAGTTCTTGGGCCTGGAGAAGAAAATTCAGACTGCAATTCCCATGAGCCTCCAACAGCCCACGGACCCCAAGCCCCCGCCTCCACTCAACCGCCCACAGCCCACCCCCTCAGTCCGCAGCTGTGTATTGAGGAGAGTGGGAGGAGGAAATGGAAGTGGAAAGGGGGGTGGGGGGGTGTTTGGGAAAGAATGTGTGGAATTCATTTCCTGTTCTGCAGCTCGGAGAGTTTGATAGACGACGAGTGAGGAGACATGAAGGAGTGAAGGAATGCTTAAATATTCACTACCTTCTCTCCGCAAAAACAGCTCAGGGAGCAGACGGACGCCCGCCAGCCAGCCATGGCCCAGCCTCTGCTCAAGAGAACTTTCTCCCGGCTGCGAGGCAAGAACCGATCCCGCAGGAAGACGGAGCCTCAAGCCAACGGTGAGCATCGGAAGCACGCTCTTCCACTTCCTCCTCCAGAATTCGGTCTGTTCTGCTCTTGCCTCCTAAGACTTCGTGACAGTCAGATGGGGAAATAAAGTAGCCATCTTTAACGTCGTATAAGTGAGCACTTGTTGTGAAGAACCACGGTGCGTCTTTGCATCCGACTAAGTCAAGTTGGGAGTGCGTTCCGATCAGAGCAAATGTTTGAGGCAACGATCAAGTGATTGAAAACCAAATCTCGCTGACTGAAGCATGAATGGTGCCGCATGTGCAGTAATAAAGTATATGAAATACAGGCCAACTGAGCACTTCCTGTCAGTGCGTGTGTGTGTTCTTCCTGTTTATCTGTGGGGTGTCACAGGAGGGACGAATTTGATAGATTAACCCGACTACCCTCGTGAAGCTCGCTGTGTCTTTAAGTGACCGTGTGTGCATCAGAGTGGTGAATAGTGAATAGAGGCAGTGTGTTTGCTGGACAACACAGAGACTTCATTCACACACACACGCACTCACACACACATTGATCCCACCTCCTTTTACATTTGCACAAAGTGATTCTTGTCCGGGACGAGGCCAACACCCAGAGGCTGCATGCGGCCGTCACGTCACAGGTCCAAGCGTCGACATCTAAACGTATGTCTTGGTAACCGCCCACCTGTTTTTGCTGCAGATGTCACAGTTCGATCCAACGTCATGCTCCACAACTCCAGCCCTCCTTTGCCAGCAATGACGAGCAAGTCTACGGAGGTACCGGCAGACCCCAAGCCCCCTTCTCTCAGCCACGTGACCGGCGCGGCGAAGCAGCAGCACTGGGTTTGGGAAGGATCAGAAGCTCCGCAGACATCTCAAAACGATGCGGAAAGAAATTCAGCGGCGACAAAGTTCACGGAGGACAAGGTAAATGTCGATAGAGGGGCCCATCACAAAAAGCATGACAGGTTAGACGGTACATCCTTGTTTTGTACTTCAACGCTGTAGGTGCCCCGCGAGCTAGCAGGCGGCGCCACTCATTCAAACCCAACAGTTGGCAGCAAGCTGTCCGGTAAGCGGGCTTACCTGCAAAGCTTGGATCGCAGCAGTCGCGACTGGGTGCTGTCCTCGGGAAAGTCCAACACTTCGGACGAGGCCTGCGGCTTGTGGCGGGAAAGCGCAGGCGACATTTGGTACAACCCCATCCCGGAGGAGGAGGATCCGGCTGGACAATTGTGGCTGAGGAGGGAGCTGAGCTCCGCTCGAGCAGAGGGAAAAGCACAACCGGGACACGCTTGGAAAGACGGACCTTCTATGGATACGGTCGGCCACCATGCCGATGACTTAACTGCAGAAAGCTCAGGTAAGAAGACTTGCCTTCTGTTGATTCTTCTCTTTTTGGGCTGTCTAAAGATAGCCCGCGTGTCTCCTTCGAGCAGACTCTCAGCCCGCCTTGCCAAAGAAAGGGGGTGTGATTGACAGACTGAGGTCTCCTGGCGCCGTGAGGAAACTCTCCCTAAAGATGAGGAAACTTCCAGAACTCAGACGCAAAATCAGTCTACGGTCCTCCCGTGTCGGACAAGGAAGCGACAGAGCAGGAGGAGGTGACGAAAGCGCGACAAAGAATGCCTCCGACCACAATGTAATAAGTCGATATCACCTGGATAGCTCCGCCCCTCCCGCCTTGCCATTGCGGCGGTCATCGAGAGTACGCTCAGCCAGTAAAGGAGGTCAAGCAGCTCAGCACTCACCTTGCTCGTTACTGACTCGCACGTCCTACAACAAAAAAAAAAAAAATGTCTTCTCTCGGCACAAATCTCTTTAGGTTATCTTAGTGACGGAGACTCGCCTGAACTGCTGCCACGGCAACCGGCCGATTTGGGTTCTTTCCCGCTGTACGTGGGCTCCGAGCCTTCTTCGCGATGCGGCCGGCGTGTCACCGGTTTACTGACCGTTCACCTTCTGGGCCTGGACCAGATGAAGACAAAGTAAGCAGAAAAATCAGAGCCCGCGTACAAACATGCAGCACGAGGCCCTTACGACGGTCACAATTGATGAGCACCGATTTCCGTCTTTGACCAGGTCAGACGAAAGCAATGAGATTTTTCTGGCAATTCAGATTGATGGAATCACTCGAGCCAGGACTTCCCTCCTTAACCTTCAAGGCCACAGCGTTTCTTTAAACCACACTTTCCACCTGGAGCTGGAGAGAGCATCTCAACTACGCGTGGTGGTACTCAGGCCAGGTAGGACTGCTTCGGCCTCGACTGTTGGCGCCCTCAGCGCTCGTGACCGTCTTCGTTTGACCAAGCAGCTCAGCCAGAATTGGACCAGATCAGGAACAAAGTTTGCTGCGTGGGCGGAGTCACTATTCCACCGCTCTTTAAAGGTGCCGTACTGTAAGAGCAAATCATTTTGATCAGCGAGGTGTGATTGTAATTATTGACGCATCCATCAGGGAGTCGCAATCAGCAGCTGTGTGTCAAGCTGGAACCCCGAGGCCTCCTTTACATCAAAATGTCACTGCGGGAACAATGGGACATACAGGTAGCAGCGTAGAAACAAATTCAACATAAACACCAGCGAATTGTCTTTTCACATCTTAATATTTTAACCTTTTATGTGACACTGTCTCTCTCTCTCCCACGCTGATCAATCACACGCGACGGCGCAATCGATTTGGATTCTTTTCAGTTTGGCAGCTCCTCAACTGCGCCTGCGAATGTCTTTGGGGTCGAACTGCGCCGCCTTGTGGAAGAGGAAGGATCTGCCTACGCAGTCCCTCTGCTCATCCAGAAGACGGTGGCAGAGATTGAACGGCGAGGACTGAAGGTAGCGCTCCAGCACTTCGCAGGAGCGCGGGATGGGATGACAAATGTCAGAGACGTTCTCGTTTGTGACCGCTGCTGTTGTTTCAGGCTGTGGGTCTGTACAGACTGTGCGGTTCTGCTGCAGTGAAGAAGGAGCTCAGGGATTGGTTTGAGAGCAACAGTTCAGCCGTTTGCCTGGGAGAGGATCTCTATCCGGACATCAACGTCATTACAGGTGACGGTAGAATGAGATTCCCTGAACTCGTCGAGAAAACGCCATCTTAAAAAAACAAAAAACACATTTTAAGCCAAAAAAGCACATTGAGTTGAACGAGTTGTGCTTGGACAGGAATACTAAAAGACTACCTGCGGGAGTTACCGTCGTCACTCATTACAGCCACTTTGTACGAAGTGGTGACGGAAGCTATGATTCGACGGCCCCCGCCCGTCCCACCGGCGAGTCCTGACCTCCAGTTAGCCGAGAACACCGTGGCGCTGCTTTCCTGTCTGCCAGCGGCAGAGAGGGTAAGAGAGCAAGACGACATTTCCCGATTGATCCACCGCGCCACTTTGACCCTCTCTCTTTTCTAGGCCACTTTGACTCTGCTGCTAGACCATCTCAGCCTGGTGGCGTACTTCAGCTCTTGCAACAGGATGACACACCAAAACCTGGCCGTCTGTTTTGGCCCGGTGCTCCTCAAACAGACACAGGAGGCTTGGAGCGGAGGCCGGGCAAAAGGAGGGCCAATAACAGACAAGGCCTTGTGTCAAGGGGAGGATTCAGCGAGTGCGGTTGATTTCAAGCGCCACATTGAGGCCTTGCACTACCTGCTGCAGCTGTGGCCGGGTGAGAGGAGGGGTCAAGAATTTGCTTTGCGACCAGTCTAAGCACGCTATTCTGATTAATCCAAGGAGGCTGACAAAAAGACGGGTTTGCAGCACCCGCGATCACTATTTGACATTCATGGCTTTCCTCCACAGTGCCGACCCACCGAATCCCAGCTGACGACGATGGCTCTGATATCTCCCCTCCTCCCTCCCCCAACCTGACCCATCAGAGCCCAGACCGTCCCATTTTGGAGGAGGAAGAGGAGGTGGTGGTGTCGCGGCGAGGGCGAGACGGTGTGGCCCGCCTGGACAGTCCACCCCCTATCAACCGCTATGCCGGTGACTGGAGCATCTGCGGGCAACAGCTTGTATGTGGACAGGAAGCCGATTACGACGAGGTGGCGGGGAGTGAAAGTGACCAAGGTCAAGTGTTAGTTTTGAACGTCTTGAAGTGTCTCTTTTGGTCTTGTACCTTACTCAAGGCAAAAATTTTGCATGTTCAACCTGCAGCTGGGAACCTCGTTTCTTTTGAAGCGCTCGCACTTCTCAAGAGTCACGTGAAGCGCTTCAAATGAAGCCTGGCTGCTTTTGGATGACGATGATTGATCGATTTTTGTGTGCCATCGCAGGGGGCGAAGATGACGACGAGAAGAAAGAAGCGTGGTTCCCAGGAGGCAGCAGAGCGGTCTACGTGGAGGACGTCCTGGACTTTGACGCTCCCTTTAACTGCCGACTCAGCCTGAAGGATTTTGACCGCCTGATTAGCGACCTGGACCGAGAGCTAGCCAAACACATCAACATTTGCATGTAGATGCTGAGGAGGAACCCAAGCCCCTTAACAAAAGCGGAAAGAGGTCCACGCTCATTGGAGAATGCATCGATTGCCCGACAAGGAAACAAATTCTCAAACGAGCCAACTGTTGACTTTTTTTTTTTTTGCACTGTTCAAGCCATACATAAAACTGCACTCAGATTTGATGGATTTTCCATATTGGGGAATTTCATCTTCATTTAAAGATGCCTTATGAGCCCCAAAAACAAAAAACAATCATTTTGTTTAAAACCGTATGCGATAAGATTTCCCATACGATGTCACACAGAAAAAAGCAACTCTGAGTGTCAGTTGGATTTCTTTTGACTCTTGGTTATGCTCACCTCAGTATTGAAGGTAGCAAGTTGGACTGTTGCCAAACAGTGTTCACGGTACCAAGTTGACAGATGCTGATCAGCATTGACGGTACCAAAAGGTGTGACTTATGCACCAGACTGAGCACACCCTGATGTGTCAGTATTAATGTGTTTTGCACAATTTCACAATGCACTTGATTTTTTTTTTGTTGTTGTCGTTTTTTTTTTTTTTTTTAAATAACCAAAGTATGTACAGCAGCTTGTCTGTCTCCAAAATAAAACTCATCACTTTTCTCTCAAACTGAGTGCAAGCCTTTTGGCCACAGCAGGTTTTGTGCCAAATTCTGAAGGAGTTACGATCGATGCCTCGAATACTGAAATGAAATCCTAAAATTGCGCTTACGGAGCTGCTGGCCGCTCTTCGGCAAAGTCCAGTCTCCCGAGGAGTTATGCCAATTTTGCTACACGTTTCTTAGAATATTTCTAGGAGTCAAGGTGAGATGAAAAAGGGGCTGCCTTTTATAACTCTAAGGGAAAATTACCTTACAGGCGACCTCGAGACACTTTCCGAAGCGTTTTGCGAATTCCAACAACCAATCCTCAGAGAACTTCGAGAAAGGAAAGGAAAATTCCAAAGTTGGCACGAGAATCCCAAAAGGCTCTGGGGGAAAAAAATATATAACATCCAACATAGCATCAGCAGCAACATAATTACTATGCAACAGTTTATATAAAAACAAAGAACAGCTTCATGCTTGGCCGTTTTAATATATTTCATTTAATCTTTATTTCTCACAAACAAAACACAAATTGAAAGTATACTCAATTGCTACGAAAGGTGGATGAACAATGTCTCAGCTGGGGGACGTAAAAAACCTCCTGCCTGACTCGGCAACCCCACTGCTGAAGGAAGCATTTTTTTTCTTTTAGAAATAAATTCATCATAAGACAATCAGACTTTTTTCTCTCTTTTTTTAATCTTACTTTCCCAAGTTCCGAGCGTGACTTCGCACAGACGTCCTGCCGGGCACGTCGTGGTGGTTCAGCTCGGGAGACGTTAGCGGGTCAAAAAAATGAGCTGAAAGCCAACAAATGAAAACCGTCGGAAAGCAGAAATAATTTGCCCCTGCCACCACTGCCATTTTGACATCCTGAATTCAATGTGGTCAGAACACGTGACATGATTTGGCATACCCAGTCCTTCGCCCTGGTTGCTGCGTTTATGAGAAGAGGCTCCTTGGACGCTGAGGACACGCCTCCAGTAGTCTTCAGGGACTGACAAGAAGCGACAGATAACCTGACAAAGATAAGAACATACTTCAACAACATGTCAAGCGTGTGTGAGCGTGTACGGGGCATTAAATGGGCCAAAATGCTGCTGACCTTCGGCTGAATATTTGTGTCACGCATGATTGTTGACGGCGATGGTTCCGACAGTCCGTGTCCCACCAGGGTGGGTCCAAAAACCCGGGATAAATTATTCTGGTCCATTTGACAAGAAGGACTCCGCATCACCCTGAAACACAAGGACAGTGATGGCTCAGTACTGGCATGTTGACGTCATCATCTGGGTGACAGCGTGCTTTTGTGGATGCGATCGACAGAAGACTGTATGGTGACTGTATTGATCGAGGAGCACGGCACTCAACTGCCTGTACTCTTGGAATGCAGTGATGCTTGATTTAGCGTTTCTGAACAAAAACACATACATACGCTGTATATTCTTTACAGGCCTTCTTAAAAGTGTGTGGGGACAAAAAAAGAGTCTCAATTGATGAAACAGAAAAATTACTTGTGGAGATGAAGCATGAGGAAGGCCAGCGTGTCTCTGTTGGGCTTGGGCAGCTCCGCGATGGCCCGAAATATGGCGGCTGACCTTTTTTGTTCGTTGCTCATCTCTGGCAAGATGCG